GGGGGGGCGGGGGGGGGGGGGGGGGGGGGTACTCATAGTCGTGGATGCCGAAGTCGTTTGACCATTGACCTCGCATCCCTACAAAGCCGGGACGGAGCACGCCGGGTTCTCACCGGACCAGGAGAGGGGGGAGGGGGGGGTGAAGTCAACAGGCTCTGGCGTCACGCGCCGTACTTCGCGAGCGAAAGGAGACGGCATGGTCTTATAAGGCCATCGACTAAAAAGCCAGCCAATCATTACACATGGAAAACAAAGAGTCGGGAAAACGGTGGGGGGTTTCCAACATTTTCAGCTCCATACCGTACAGTACCAAGGAGCTACGCGAGGCTGCGTGTTGTGTTCGAATGTGCACGGGGATGAAGGGAGTACGTGTGCCGCGTCAACCTCCGCGAAAAATACGCTCGGAACTATGCATACGATATTCGAACCAAGGACGACCAGCACGGAACTTGAGCATTACCGGGCTGCCGCGATGGTTGTTAGCGCTCCTCTGCGCCTTCCCGCAGAGGTTAGAGGTCAAGTATGGGGACTACGTTCTCCCAGGACCGACCGTTGATGACATAACCCTTCCAGTACATACACAAACACATGTGAGTATGTGAGTGCTCTCTCTCTCTCGAGGGGCTCCGCACTTGAACCCCCACCAGCATACCCCCCCCCCCCGACACATTCTTCAGATCGGATCTCGTACCCAGGTGTACCACAACAAAAGGGTCTACATAAATGAAAGGTAGTCTGGCAAGAAACACGGCAAGCACACGAGCATCTCTCTCACCGCTCGTTAGTGGCCGAATGAGCGTGGTCTAACAGCGGCGTGAGCATGGATGCCTCGAAGCCCTCTGGCGGGGCGTACACGCGGCACACGACGAACGCCTCGATGGAGCTGCTGCGGCTACTGCGTGGCTTGGCGATAGTCACCCGCTCGAACAGCAGGCGCAGCTGGCTGTAGAGTAGGCTCGAGTCTCGCCCCCTGAAGATCTTGGCAACGAAGGTACCCCCAGGCGACAAGACATGAGCCGTGATGTTGAGGGCCGCTAGAAGGAGCTGTTCGACGGGAGAAAGACGTGTGATGGATAGGACCGGGAGGTGTGGGTGAAGATTAGATTGGATTGATGTTGATCGATCGTTCATCACTTGGTGATCCACAATGTTCTCATCACAGGTGCCTGTCAAGGGAGCATCAGCATTCGAGGGATCGGGCGGAGGAGCACCAGGGTTGCAGACAAAACCTAGGATCTTTGTACACCCCACAACGACCCCCTCACTGATGACACCAACAACAACGAGGCCAAGATTTACCTGCGCTTGTAGATACTCGTCGATATCGTGCAGGCCCGTCACGTCCGGCGCGCCGTCACACACCACCAGCTCGGCCAGCCCTCCTCGGAAGTGGTCGATGATCGCCTCCGCAGTTTTTACAGAGGTGATGTCACCCTGCGGCACGACAAGCAACGCGGCGGAATGTGTTGCAGTGAAACGGCACGGCGGTAATTGATACCGTATGACTGACTTTTTTCTGTGTTCTGTCGGCCAAAAATTAAATGAAGGAAACAAGAGCATCGCTACCTAGGGGAGTGTCGACGTACGTGGGGCTTGAAACCGTTTCAAAACAAAAAAATGGACACCGCTTGGCCGATGAGTTGGGTGCCGCTTCGCTCAGACATACAAGGTGTGCGGAAAATTTGCGAGGCTCAACGTTATGCTACACCTTCTACACATTAACAGACCAGTCGCCTCGTCCGGCGTCTACCAAGCCGAGAACACAAACAATCTGAATCGACCGCTCAGTGCGGTCAGAGTTTCTGAAAACAGTGCGTAACGCAAACAAGATCGGCATGTCCGCAGCAACTACAACAAGCGCGCAGACCAACTGCAACAACAACAGCTACCCCCCCCCCTTTACGCGGTACCACGAGTATGACCTGTCGTTGTCCTGCTGGCTCACGACCCACCTGGAGCTGCTTGACTCCCTCGATGGGCGCCATCCCCTGCAAATCCACCGCCACAATTCGAACCTCCTCTTCCTCTGTGTCCTTTACTCTTCCCTCGCTCCCTGCCCCTGTCTGCGTGTCCGCGCAATCTACCCCTGCTCGGTGATGTCGTCTGGGCCCCGCCTCCCCCCCATCCGGGCCAATGTCACCGCTCTCATCAGTGGCGCCAACACCGCTGCCTGCGACAACTCCGGCGCCTTTGGCTTCTGGCCCTGCCGCGGAAGCTGCATCGAATTCGCCGTCGTCCGTTGCCACAGCAGTGGAGAGAGGCGCCCCTCTTGCGCCCCCGCTGCCGTCGCAATCATCGAGTTGAGCCTTGGCGTTCTCGCAGCCAGCAGCAGCGGGTGTGTCACGTTTGTCTCCCAAGAGCTTGCTGGCGAGCACCTGTTTCGTGGTTGGGGGGGGGGGCAACGACATCATGCAGCATGGTGGGGATGAGCGGAAGGGTGCTTTCGCTGTTTTTCTCTGTCGTCGTCAGTAACGTTCATGTCCCGACGCCGTGATGCTGGCGAACGGGAGGATGACAGTACCAACAACACGGTGTTGTATGTACATGCTGCCATCGGGCAGCAAGGTACTCAGACGTGCTTGGCAGTCAGGTCAGCTTTCGACCGCCACCAGTAGCAAGCAAAGTAGAGACACACATGACCCAGTACAATCATCGCTGCATCCTCTGTATGGAATGGGATGCGAGATAATCCAGGTGGCACCGCTGCACAGCATGCCATGGGGGCGCAGCAGCACAAGATTGGCCACAGCTCTAAATGTTGCATTGATGGCATCCAGCAAAGACAGTGAATCCCTTGTCCTGCATCCGCGGGACCGGGCATGCTGGAGCAGTGCCTTGTGCGTCTGTCTCACTTGACTCCAGCTCCCAGGGGCCGCGCATAGATCGACGGCCTTGGTGACTCCTTCGAATAGCCCAAACTCCTCGTCAAGCTGTAACAACTTGAACGCGCTACGTGCTCGGAAGCCGACCTGCGAGAGACGACGCACGTCCCAGCCAAGAGCACGCCGTAAGTGTCTGATCCTGGGACAGCAACAAGGGGAGCACTGGTAGCAGTAGACAAACCTAAGCATCGCACTGCCGGGCAAATCAGGTTCAAATTACAGCAGTACCAGTAGTTTCTACAAGCAACAGAGCTACAGCAGTACAGCATTAGGCTAGCACGACTGCTTTACCTCCTTGGCCTTCCTGTAGAACATGTCCCGCTTATCCTTGCCGTTGCGCCCCATGGCTTTTACGCAGTGTACTCGGTGCTCTCCTAGCTTCTTATAGGGTTAGTTAGGGCTACAGGGCGCAAGCTACACACAGCAGTCTCGAGTCTCGAGCAGTGGCCGCGTTCGAAATTCGGGAGAAATGCGGTGCAACTTCGTTGGTAGATCGGGTGTTCCAGTCCGCGGCCAGCTTTTAGGTTCAGAAAAAAACGGTCCCGTCTCCACATCAAGCACCGGGAGAGACAAGAGACAGGCGCGGAGCGGGCCAAGGAGAGGACGGCCAGTGCAACCTGTGGTCCCAACACGGTGCCATGAAGTCTGAGGTCAGCTGGTCAGATCAGGTATGTGGTTGCTGATTGTGCTATGTAGAATACAAACTCCTTCTTCGGTTCAAATACTGAAAGTGGGCGATCTATCTTTATATCTTTCCCCCTGGCGCGAGAGAGGTACAGCAGTATCCCGGATACGTTTGAGGCTTCTGGTACAGAGGGTCCAGGTTGAGAGAAGTGGGCAACGTAGAAGGATCAGTCGCTCGATATGAGATCAGGTAACACAGCTGTTTCACGCAATCAAGTACGCTTCAAATAAAAACATCTACTGTATGACCAACCACCACATTCTCTTTTAGAATCGAGATGCAACTCCAGTACAGCAGTATCACTGTACCATTACAGTCCTCGTATTGAGGAGAGGTCTGCGGGATGTATATATGTCCCTCCCTCCAACTCGAGCAAACTCGCGCATGAATGCTGCAGGTTGTTATGTAGAGGGACTTTAGCATGTTCGTGATGTGTGCTTTGGTGGAGGTGGTCGGGTACAGGTCTTTTCGGCAGCTGTCACCATGAGCTGATCGCGCCGCCCCTGCTTGTACTTGCTCACTGGTCCGTAGGTGCCAGAGAGGGAAGACAAGCCCAAGAGCAACGCTATCAATGACTTGTGCTTCAGCCCGGACGGTTCTAAGCTGATCGTCGCGGTCGAAAGCCGGGTGCTTGTTTACGATGCCGCGGAGGGAGAGCTCGTCAACTCCTTGCGGGGTCACAAGGATACCGTGAGCGGATTTGACGTCATATTGCTTTCATTCCCCGGCATGTTGTGCGTGCGCATGTTCATGTTCCATCGGATTTAAAATTTCAGCTCTTAACCTCTGACGTGATGGTAAGAGTATTCTGAGAGTCGTCCTCTGGCATAGGAAACAGTACATGGAAAGGTCCATACAATGTGCATGCAGCATCACCCTCCTTGTTCTTGTTTCGTTTGGTGGGCACGCACCGCCCTTGCGACATGGCAACAATCTACCTACGGCCAGGTTCTCACTGTCGACTACGCCAAGGACGGAAAGCACTTCGCCTCTGGAGGGGCCGACCACACGGTTATCATCTGGACTAGCAAGGCCGAGGGCGTCCTGAAGTACACACACAACGAGTCCATCATCCGCCTGGCCTATTCCCCTGGCACGACAAAGCTGGCGTCGTGCACACAGTTCGACTTCGGCCTCTGGCGCCAAGAGCAGAAGTCCGTCGTCAAGCACAAGGTGCTTGCAAGATTAGAGGAGGGGGATTTCTTGGACCATCCATTAGCTCCCACCCACCGCTGAACACAGTAGCCGCCATCAGCCGAGGCTTTCGATGCAGAACCCCTCCACTTTGGAACCTACATAGCAGGTGCCATATTTTGCCTACTTGCATGTGCCAGGTTCACGCGAAGATTCTCTCCGCGGGTTGGAGTCCGGATGGGCTACACCTAGCTCTGGGGTTCTTTGACGGGAACGTGGGCATCAGGGACGTCAATGGTGTTGAGAAAGTCACCATCACCCGGTGCGTTACCACGAACATTCCGAGGCGTTTGGTGAATCATGTCGTAGGGTTTCGCGCTGTGCTTGTTGTGATGCCCTGGTGTTTTTACCTGTGACTCAAATTTCCATCTGCCTTGTTCCTTCCATGATCAATATCTTCACATTGCCTCAAGCCTGATGGAATAAACTAGCCTCTACAGGGTCCCTGCAGTACAGTACATTGCCGTCTCCGGTCTGATCTGCCGCGCATGAATATTGGGTGGTGGGCGAACGAAGTAGCGACACCTCGGCGAGTTATTTGATCTACGGTAGCATGCATACTCTCCCCAAGGGGGCTTGAGTTTCTTGCATTGACAGTAAGCCCCGTAGCTCAAAATACTCCATATTTTTCGCGTTTTTATTACCTCCCCCCGCGTGGACACACGAGGTAGGGGCGCGCCGGTGTGGTGTTTGGCCTGGTGTCCTGCACAGGAAGACGGGGAGGTGCTCGCTTTGGGCTGCTGGGATCAGACGCTCAGCTTTTACTTGCTCTCAGGTGCGTGTCTGCAGCCGTAGAGAACATGTTACCATTTCAGAGATGTTTCGCACCCAGATTCGAATCTGCACTATTTTACTGGTAGATGGTGTCTCATGCTGCTGAGGTTCTCTGCGTGACATATTTTCTTGATCCACCATTTTCGTATCCCTTTTTGACGCAAGCATAACTCTTCTCCCAGCCGAGTTTTTCCTCTTTGGGCGTCGGGTTCGAAGGGCGGGTAAACATTCATCGGATGGCGTTGCGTGATGGGGGAGTTCTTGTTTTTCGTGGTACTTGTTGTACGCCTATGGAAGGCCAAAGAACAACATATAATGGCTGCCAACAGAGCCGAAGCAGATGAGGAAAGAGTAGAGTGCCAAGTGCATCGAAACCGTTTGGCGAGGTGTGACCTGGTTCTCGACCTGTGTGCAACCGATCATGCATTCTTCCTGCGAGAAAAGGGGAAGCATGAACGGCTGCAATGCACCTTTTCCGAGCTAGCGCTGCTAGGAGGAATCGCGCAACAGGAAAAAACCAACGCACGGTTTGCTTGCTATCCGTCAGGGGAGCAGCACACAAAGGACCGCAAGCTCGGGTTCAACCCCTGCAGCATATCGTACCTCAACGGAGGGAGCTACATCGCGATCGGAGGGAGCAATCGCAAGGCTACCCTCTGCACTAAGGCACGTTCTTCGATGGTCGTGTTTTTGCGCTACCATACGACAGAGATCTGTTGTAGAGCATCGGTAGACCCTTGTTGTGCGGTTGGCGTTGCTGGTGCATATGATGAAACCCGAATCAAATACCACCCCCCTTTGGTTTTCTCGCTTCGTACATACGCCGGCAGGCCTAGGTTAGGGGGCGCTCGTTCAGCGACACTGGAGGATTTTGTTCTTATATACCTTCGCCGGCTGGAAAACGCTTCGAACCGCTGCCCGCCTACTATGTACACCCCTTATTGAAGTGCAGGTGTCGGCGTCCTTGAGGCTTCCCAAATAAAAGCTTTCTGGTTTACGGAGATACCCAACTGCTCAATGATACCAAGGTTACATGCCTAGGGCTTCTTGGGTGACACACAGGTCTCAATTTCCCCCAGACCTTCGTTTTCGGTACATGGCGTACACAGCTCTCGCGTACGTGTCATCCCCCAAACCCGTGTCGACGTGGCATCTACCGTGTTGACCAGGAGGGGGTACGACTGGCCACAGTGTGTGAAACGGAGGCGTGGGTGTGGGCGCTGGCCGGGAGACCTGGCCACGACGAGCTCGTGGTTGGTTGTGACGGGGGCTCGATCGGAATGCACAAGCTGCAGTTTCAGCACGTCACGGCTATCTACAAGGTGCGAGGTTTGGATTATCTCTTTGTCCTCGAACCTGGACTTGACTTCGAAATGAGGTGCTTGGGATTCCCGAAGGAAGTGGTACACGTGGTGGTCCGAACGAGACGTACTTTAGGGACAATGACGAGTTCCGGGGATTTGTGATGGGAGATCTTTCCAATTGGGTCCATGGGCGAACTCTCAAACTTCCAACATGGCACCATCACTTGAATTGTGAGCTGGGAACAGGAACGAAGGGGCCGGTGTAGGCGAGGAACACGCAAGGTAATACGGGTGCCGTTTATTGTGCAGGGAGAGAGGACATCGCTACTGTAGTAGACATGTTGCTTGATTAGTGCAGACTTCTTCAGTTGCGCAACCCTTGTCACTTATTAGCGCTGTTTTAGGTCAGTCGTTTGTGTGGCGCGTGCAGTACTTCCGGTGAGAGTGCTCCCCCACATTAGGCGGAAATGCTGTACACAATCACCCGCGATGGCATGTTCTTGCTCGTGGCCTTCTCTGCCAGGACCGATACGCCTACCGTGAGAACATGAGCGACGTCATTGTGCAGCACCTAGTATCGGAGCAAAAGGTACGTGAATAGTGACCAAAAACGCTCTGCATTAGCGAGAAGTTCAACGCCTTGAGCTGGAAAGTAGAGGGGGAAAGTCGCTTTGAACTCCCAAAGGTGGCGTGAAAGCTAGCACCTAGGAGATTGGGTGGGTGAAGGATGTGGCTGTTCGGATGGAGCATTACTTCGCGGGGGATTGCTTCCTTTGAGAACGGAACGAACGTAGCACACGTAGACTGTGCTGGGACAATCTTCTTGCTTCTTAAACGGCAAGACCACAGTGATATGGTGTGTACCAACGCCCTCGCCTTCCTCGCGACAGGTTCGTATCAAGTGTAGGGACTACGTGGAACAGATTGCAATTTTCCGAGACAGACTGGCGGTCCGACTTCCGGATAAGGTGAGCAATCAGCAAGATAGCGTGTAGTTCATGTTTGGTAATATATATTTCTACGCAAGCCCGTTCGGCCTGCTGAGCAAGATCAGTTGGCAGTTCAGCAGCTAGACAGATCTAGTCGATGCGCATAGGTGTTGACTGGGTAAGGGGCACGTCTGGCAATCGTCATCGGTTGTGGCTGTCTCAGTCAGGGGCAAAAATCCCGTACGAACCTTGGTCATAGAATTGGACATACCTCAAGCACACAGCAGGTGCAAGGTTCCATCACCCTTACATTGACCAGGTCCAGTGTCAATAGCAAGCCCGATCGCCCTCGTCCCGTTGCCACAGTGACACTCCCGCACGTATATGGGCTTGTCGAACCAACCACAGAAGACACGTCTGTAGGGTACCTGCAAACAGCTTTTACAGGTGCTGCACTCGCTCGAATAGTCATCACGGTAGCCAGGACTCTCTTCGCGAAACCATGCTCAATTCACCAATGGTAGTGTCCAACGCCCCCAACTGCTCTGTCTGCCTGGTCCCAGGTGCACGTGTACGAGCTCACTCAGCACGACGACAAGTACGACCTCCGCTACCGCCTCAAGGACAAGATATACCTCCCCTCTGCGGTACCTTCATCGTCGTCGTCGACACTGTCCTCGCCCGCTTCAACTATCTCCTCGCTAGCCGTGACGTCCTCCAGCCGAGGGAGTGAGAGTAAGGAGGACGCGGCAAGGCATCAAGGGTCATCGTCATTGCATAGCCAGCGCCTCTCGACCGGGAGCGTTGACGGCTTGGGGGGAGCGCCGAGGGATGGGGATGGGGGGGGTTCTTCGTTTTTGCTTGTGACCTGGAACAACGTTGTCCTCTGTGAGGGGAGAGTGCTGAAGCTGTTCGACTTCTCCGGCGCCAAGGTAAGCCAGACGAATTGGTCAGAAGAAAGTTGTTTCCTTTCGCCATGCTTGTCTTCAGAGAGGGTGGTTCTGCTTCTGCGAGTTTGACACTTTTTAACACCAAGATTTTCGTCGTGAGTTAGGGTTTGTTTTCTCGAACTTTTTTTCAGGGCCATGGTTCGGACTCTCTGATATCACAGAGGAACAGGTTGGGTGAGAAAGGAGTTTGTAACGTACGTTTCGACAAGGATTGGCGGTGAACGCCGACTTGGAGCCTTCGTCGTCATCTGTGGTTCGACCCAACACCATGAATACGCCCTGCCACAACGGACCATCTCCTTCCGCATTAGGTTGAAAACGAATTAACACACGTGCATGGGCAGCAGTGCTATAGGGCGGTTGCCTGGGTTGGACTGCAATGCCTTCCGCAGTTCCCTCCAAAATCAGGCTTGTTCAAGTTCTAAAGGTTGGACCTCGGCCACTGGCGTTATTAAACCACCACCACTCTGCAACAAAAAAAATGAAAATAAAGGTCCGAGAATGGGTACTGGATGCGGCCGTGCGCAGCGCAAGCGTGGATGGCGGCCCGGCGGGCGGGGAGTCCCTCCTGCTCGGACTAGAGAACGGGGTGGTGCTCCAAGTGTTCGTGGACAACGCCTTTCCTGTCGTGCTAGTCAAAGCAAGCACGGCGGCGGTGGTGGGCTGCGCCATGTCCGTGCACCGAAAAAAGGTGAGCCGATTCGTCGATGCCGTTGTCCATGCCCCCCGGTCAGACAGAACTTTGAGTTTTGTTGACTCTGGTTGGTTTTCATTCAACCCAATGTGGTTTGTCGGTTGGGCATGGTTTCGATTGGGTGACCGGTGGGTTAGCGGCTAGGGTTTTCTTATGTAGGGAATGTGCGGCGTCAGTCCGATCCGCGAAGTACTACAGTTATGTATAGCCTATTTGTGAATATCCTCATTTTTTGTCGTCGTGTTTGTCGTCGATACTAGAATCAACCTTACGCTTATGAATATTTATGCGATGATCTGTCCGTCGTACGCATGGCCTTGCGAGCATGCTCATGTGCCGTAACTCTCCATTGTGACTGGACATTAGCTGCACTGAAAAATATTGAATCGTCATGCTTCCAACCAATCCACATCACAACCACCCTCTGGTTCCCAACATCAAGTTTGTGGTTGATTTTTTTGGCGTGCCACTTTACGACGCGATGCTCTCGGTAGAAAGTATGACCCCCTACGTCATGCCCGGTGTCTACCCCAACCTGTTAGGTGGCCGTTGTGGACGCGAAGAGCAGGGTTATGGTGTTCGATGTCATGTCCAAGGAGGTAGAATTCCAAGAGACTGGCGCCTCTAGGTGAGGGAAAGAAAGCAGACCAAAACTAAAAGGTGCGTGTATTTTGGGTTGGTGCACGGAATCACAATGCTCGGGGTAATTCTGCGAAGTATTGCGGAAACCAAGTGGTCATAAACGAATAGACAGGACCGGTAGATTTCTTGCTTTGCAAGGAATCGCAATGGCCCTTTTCGCATCGTCCTTCTTGTACGTTGATGATGTTAGCCAGTGACCACGGCGTAAATCTTCTTGGGGAGGGTGGCCATGGGTCGCAGAGGCTAGCAAGGAGTCTGCAACTTCAAGACTAGGCACAGTGACCCCACAACCCGTGGGCTCTCACTTTCTCACTCACTCTACACCCCTGTCTATCTCGCCTTTCGTTTGTCTCTCTCCCTCTATGCATTGGTGGACACGCTAGCGTGGCGTTCAACACATCTTTGGAAGATATGCTGTGCTATTCGGGGAACGGCAAGCTCTACGTCCGTAACGGTACTTTTCCAGTGCAAGAGCAGGTAAACAAACGCCCGTCCGGCCAGGGTCATTCTACAGGATCAGGCCTCCTTGTACAGGACGCCGGGGTTGAATTGACTCTGTGCAGGAAAAACAATCACAATAACAACAGCATTGATTCCGTTGGATGGCACCACATGTACTCGCACATTGTGCGACGTGCTTGAGGAGAATGTTCTTTCAAAATATATTACATTCGGTTCCTACGCATTTGTCTCAACCCCCGTGGGTATTTGTCTAGCCGAACGCCACGGAAGTTTTTTTCAGTAGCGTGTAAACGTCTGTCACGCCTATTCAGATGTGCCTGACCTTTGACTTGAACACCATATCATCGTCCTATCGAGGAAAACTCTTCGACGATCTTGTTTTACGTTTATCGCAACAACACCAGCAACAACCGTTTCAAAATTTCAAAATTTCAGCGAATCTCCAAAAACGATGCCGGACCAACCCTTTTCGCACCGTATCGATGTGTAAAGTTCATTGGCGGAGAGGTGGCCAGCTACCGAGGGGCGCGGGTGATCAGCTTGAAGGGGGTGGCTCTGTCCACGGTGGACGTACCGTTAACCAAGACCGTCTATCGGCACATTGAGGCACGAGATTTCCAAAAGGCGCACGACGTCGCCTGCCTGGGGGTTACCCAGGTGAATCAACAGTACTTGAAACGCCCCGAGTACCACTAACACCACGTAATGCACCAATTCTACCGATGTATGTACCGAAAACTGCTCTACACAAGACCCAGGCAATAGGAATAGGGGTAGACCAGAAATGTTCATCCAGGCAACATCAGCAATGAAAACATTGGCATGACGCGCCCCTCGTGCAGCGAGACTGGCGGCTCTTGGGCATGTCCGCTTTGCAAGCGATGGAATTTGACGTCAGCCGGAAGGCGTTCATCCGGCTGCGGGACCTCCGCTTCGTCGACATCTTGTCCGACATTGAGCTAAGGACCATGCACGAGGCTACTCTGTTGAAGACCAACGCCGAAGCCAGGTAAGGCAGTGCTTGCACTTAACACCGCACTTCAATATTTTTTTGTCTTGCCAACACCCTCTTGTAGAGTCAAACTTGGGATGTTCAGAAAGTGCTTGTTGTGAGTACAAAAAATCCGAGATAGACTACCGTAGTCACAGCCAGTTGTTTCACGCTCAAGCGACCGTGTCAGTCGTGTTGACCCATTATCCAACGGAACCAATATTTTCCAGGGTAAAGATGGAAGCCGACTCCTCGGCCGAGCTGTTGGCGCACCAGGGCAACTACCAGGGCGCCGCCAAGGTGTGGGATAATGTACCTTCGCTGATTCGATCCTCATACAAAACAATACCTATACTAGGTCCACCACAACCCCGCAGAAGAAAACTGGAAGGAAGTAAGTCTTCTTTTCAGAATCTGATCAATATTCCAGGCTCGATCTGGCGTACCTGTTCGATTTGTCGAAGGGTTGCTGTCTCTGATGGGCGCCGGCAAGGCATGTTCGCCCAACCCTGCCACACTGATGGTACGTGCTAAGGATACAACACTAAATTTGTCACAGAACAGTGTCTGGCCGACAATTAGCCCCAACCACGGCAGATATCGACTTCAAAGTTTTGGAAGCTCGGCAGTGATTGAACCCATCGGTGGGTTGTAGCAATCTCGTGCTCCTCCATTCACCCCTACATAGAAAAACTTCGGGTGAAAGCCGCGATATCGAGTAAACATTGAGATGCACAATCCGGTTTCCCGTTTCGTCAAAAGGACACATGACCTCCACCATCTGAGACATCCCTCAGCGTTTCCCGGACCATACATCTACTTTGTTGCACTATTGGTAGACGTGGGCGAGGAACGGCATGGCAGACAAGGCCATCACGATGTTCATCGACCTCCGCCAATGGGAGGAGGCTAAGGTGTTCGCCGCCTCTTCGGGGGGGTCCGTGGATGCCAAGGAGCTGACTCGACGCCAGGCAGAATGGGCAGAAGAAGTGAGACGGAGTTTCTGTCTATTTCGAGCATTCGGAAAACCATGAAATGTGTTTCATATCGCGAGTCGTAGTATCTGTGTCCGGTATTACGGATATTTCCCTCGCTCTAGTGGGTCAGCTCGTGATGACGACGTGACCGTGGTGTTATCACCGATGATGGAGGTACGGACACGTCAAAGCCGATTTAGTGTATTTATTGAGGAGAATTTCCGACCGACGACGACACGACAACGCCGGCCTTAGAAAATAACAAGAGCAGTAAGGATACAAGAGTAACACCCCCCCATACCAAGTTGGGTGCACTCGAGTGGATTGCATACTTGAACCCGAGAACGTTGGCTCATATGCGCATACGCAACCGTAGTTGGATGATCACGCAGCCATGTCAACACGCGGAAAGGTGGGGATTGTGCGCGTTGTCATCGCATCTGCTCTGGCCTTCAGATATGAAGTTTCTGTAAGTGCAATGTTGGTCACGATATTTCGTCACCCTCTGCGCCGGCGCAGCGTTTCCAGTCCACCTCTCTATAATAGGGCAACGTGATGTGATGTTGTTTGCTGTGATCCGACGTGAGTTTGGGATTCTTTCACGGTGATGTTGTCAACATGAAGGTCGGAGATTGGTCGGTGGCATCCGAACTGTTCCTCAAGAGCGGGGAGCCGCTTCGGGCCGCTGAGATCACCATCAAAGGGAGAGGAGAAGGTTGGCAGGATGCTCTGGCGGAGATAGTCAGGTGAGAAAACGACAATGAAGAGAGGTACAACTGCTATTCTCCCCTTCGAAAGCAGAATTTGCTCCCCTGAGCACGCAGGACACGAAACTCGTGACCCTGATGAATTGGCACGTCGGTGTGGCAGGTCGGTCACAAAGACGGAGACGAAAATCCTGAGTGTTTGCGGCAAGGAGTTGTCCTTGGCGGGTTTCGACGACCTTGCGAAGGAGGCGTACATGAAGATGGACGACTTCACCAACGTCATGGCACTTTACGTTAAACACCAGGTCAGATTTATCCTCTCTCGTGTGCTACGTATCCCATACGTTATGTTGGGTCAAAGTGAACATATGATTAAATAGTCACGGAACAAGCATGGAACCCCGGTGGAACAATAAGAGCCACCCGATGGTGGCAGTCCCACGAAACCATTGTACGTTCCATGGGAAGAAACAACGCGACTGTTCTTTCAGTCTAATACAACAGGTTGGAAGCACACATTACACGTGCAGCATGTGATGGAATATATATCGAAGGGGACTTTGACAGAGGAGGTGAGAGGAGAACAGCGAACAAGTGCAAAGGCTACTCTGTTTGGCTGTGTCGTTATCTCATGTTCTTCTATTCACTTCTCGCTCATGTGGCGTTGGCAACACGGCGATTAGAACTGGTCGGAAGCGGTGAAGCTTTCCGAGGAGCACGGCCGCAAGTACGACGACGCCGTTTTCCTACCCTACGCGCTGTGGCTCCGAGACAAGGGGAGGTTTGACGAAGCCCTCGAGGCGTTCCAAAGGGCCGGAAGGCGGGATTTGAGCGGGGCCATGACTGAGCAACTCATGTGAGCGATGAACGATGAGTGACGTACGGTGCCGACCGCAGCTTAGCTTATCCGCCAGGCGACCATTGCTCCCCGTTGAGCATCGGTCCGCCACTGCGCTTCACGATTGCTAGACAAATTTGTGCTCTTGCTTAGGAACCCGCGATGCACGTGTCTCGTCTCGTCTCGGCTCGTTCTGGGATGGGACAGAGAGGAGACCTTGGACCAGACTCTCAAGAATATGACAGCTTTTGTACGCGCATCGTTTCCACGCAATCATGTCCCTTTAGTCCCATGTCAGTCTCCGAAGAAGATGGGGAAATCCAAGTCCGCCATCAATCTGCGTGGGCCACACGAAACATGCAAGATGTTCCTTAGGAAACATCACGGGAAAGATACGAGACGTAGGATGACTCTCTCCAACCCCACATTGAGGTTTTGCTGGACTCAAGTGTCGGGGTGTTGAGCCAATCAAAACCTCAACAACGCCGAAACAATGGCGTCTCCCAAGAAATTTCCCTCCTCCTCATCCAACGTGCAACAAACAGCCTGAACTCCGTGGCGAAAGCCCGGTTCGACGACGCTTCTTACTATTATTGGAGGTCTTCGACTGAGGCTTTCGCAGCAGCCGAGAAGGACAAAACGAAAACGAGGTACGTGTGTGTGGTGGGTGGACCCAACCAAGGAGAAGCGTGTCTACTCTATCAAACACCAAACCCTGCAGTTCGCGCGTTGCGTTAACCGTGGTTTGTCTTGGTGTCCTATGGTCTCATGGCTTTGATACCCTCCTACGTAGATCGTATGTTCGGAGAAACGATACTTCGGTTTTCCCCTTGTCGATGCTATTGTCGCCCTTTTCGGATTGTCATGTTCTTCTTGTGAAACGCATTAATCACGATACTGTCGACATCTGCAGCGAGAAGGACATCAGAAAGGCTCAGAGGATTGCGGAGGAGCACTCTCGTTTGGCGGACTTGTATCACGCGTTTCACCACGTGCACTCTTTCACCACCGACCCCTTCACGGACCTACAGCCGGAGGTCTTGCTGCAGGTGATGAGAGACGACGGCGTGACTTGGTACTTGGATGATGCTGGCTTGGAGACGATGTTAAAATGGCGTTTGGGAAATCGCTATTTCGGCAAACGTTTCTGTTTCGAGGCAGTGTTCACCGATCCTGTTTTTCCAACCTTACTGTCATCATGTGCACGAAACGACCTCGCCCTTGAAAGCTTCACGGAGCGATAACCAAACCCTTTGCTTGCTCCAATGTGAGCTAGCTCACCTCCTGTTCCTCTGTGCTCAACGAACTCCCGCTCCTATCGAGAGCTAGCTGTCGTTGCCATGTGCTGCCAGGCAAACCTACAGACAGGCGCTCAGGCAGGATGTCCCATTAATGAAAGGACAACTGACTACAGTATGACTATGGACAGAATATCCCTCCTTGACTTTCAGCCGAAATGGGACCATGCTGCGAAAAGTCGACCGTGTCACTTCAGTCACGAAATTGCCTCAATATCAAACCAGGACCCGGAAATTCCCTCATGGTTGTGGTTCATGCGGGAAGGTTGTTCAGAAATGCCGAGGGGGCGTAAGCCGTGGAGCAGAATTGCAAGTATGCGCTGGAGGACTTCGTAGGCATCCCTGCCAACTTGAGGTTGCCGAACAGGTGTTACGTCGATACCATCTGCCTAGCTTTGCTTTTTCTCTTCGGTGCTCGTGTTGTCACCGATCACAACACAGCACCATTAGTTGGCGAACGACAAGAATAGCAACAGCCAACACCATGCAGTATGACTGATGGTACGTAGCGTCCAGGTACTCCAGATACTCACTTTGATCACTTCATTGCCCGCCCTCTCTCTGCTTCCACCCGGCTGCTTGGCCTAGGTGTCGAGGTTCCTCGTGAACTCCTTGGGCGAAGCGGAGCCGCCTCGCGGGATATCGAGGGCACACACTCTCTACACCTTAGCCAAGCAGGTGTGTAAGCGGAAGAACGTCAAAAGAATGGAGACAGCTACAGTCCAGCAAGGATATACGGATATTCCGGCGCATGTAGGACTGGAATCACTAGGTTCATAGGGAGGGATTGGGGAGGATGTGTCAGGAGATGTGCTTCGCTTTCGTTTAAGGCGGAGGCAACGACATGCAGGCAAGAACATGCCAAATCTACGAAAAAGGCTGACCTGCCCCTTCCCATTACTTCAAGAAAATCAAGGTCTGGGTGCAATGAGTACCGCACCGCCATTGCCTTCAGACCCCTTGCCTATTGGTGTCAATCCGCATCCATTGGATGGATCGGACGACAAAGACAAACGGTATCGCCTCACTTTTGAAAAACATTCTATTACGGCACCTGAAATTCACTATTTCTACTATTGTAGTTCTCATGACTCGACGCTTGCTGCGCAAGTGTCATTCAGCTTCTCCGCTTGCCCCCAAGAGGTCGAAGTGCTAACGCCAAGTACTTTCTTGGTCCTTTCATTTTCCAGGCCAAAGTGTTGGGAGCCTTCAAGCTGGCGCGGTTCGCCTACGACCGCCTCCAGAGGCAAAGGGTACCTCCCCTCTGGCAAGATCAGATTGATCTCGACATGCTCACAGTCCAGGCAAGCGCTGAATGCGGAAACCTCGAGTTGTGTCAGGGTTAACCAAAGACCACGCGCAGCAGTATCGACCTACTATCTGTGGGAGTTCGCATGGGGAAGTTTGGTAGTGCGGGACTGCGAATAGGCAGCAGAACGACCAAGAACAGAGCGACCCACGTCGATATCAATGTTTCGAGTGAGGGCGGTGCGAAGACGCGCGCGTTCGAAAAATGGCCGCTATGTGTTTATGTGTTGTACTTGCGATCATAGGCCTTTGTGCGGCCCTTCGCATCGTTAGGTAGGATTAAGCCACCTGGGACAAGAAACATGATTCCTAGGCCAAGTGTTGGAGCACTGGGGATACGTTCTCCACACAGCCACACACACCTGTGCCCACCAAGACACGACCCACGGTATGATCATACCAACATACCTGAAGCCAGACGATCTGCTAACGTGTTAGCGTTCCCTCGCGCACCGAAATGATATCGGCATACTGGCAGTCCAGGTTATGTAGTATACCGTAGTTGCCGATACGTAGAGTGCTCCTACCGACCCCTTCCGCTGTTCGACCCTTCACTTTGGTTCGCTTTTTCGAGCAGATCATCAGTGGAATGCTCGTCAAACCACCGAATCGCACCCACACAAATTGCTTTCGAGCATCGTGTTGGGGATATCGCCCATCCCAAGCACGTCCATCGCAACTCGAGTACTGTGTGAACCAAGTCTTGAAGGGGGTTGAATGTGAGAGTATATTCCTACGTGTCGAGCACGACAACCATCACAACAATCGTCAGCATTACATGTACGGGAAATTGTGGCACACATCACGCTGATATGTCCACTGTGTCTACCAACACTGCGCCAATCGCGCGTGTATCCGCTCGAACAGGCCAAGCCGGTACGGGATAGCCCCGAGCTCTTCGCGGCTTGCTTCCGATGCGGAGCCAGCAACCCACTCCTTAGCCCCTACACGGGCGCGTCGAACAGCCTAGGATCGACATTGTCGAAAATGCCACGCAGAACCGACGGAGGCGGTAGAGGCCGTCACGACGCACCGTTGCCTTGGGGTGACGCCTGCACGACGTGCCGACACCCCTTCGTGCGCAGTTTCTTCAACTTTGAGTCCTTGCCGCTGGTCGAGTTTCAGCCGGACCCCGGGTGCGTTGAGTTTGGGCGCGTGCGGAGTTTAGGAAGTGCTCGACAGAGATATTGAAAACGCACGAAGCAGATCAGCTACTCGTGCATAAAACAGAAGCAGCGGTAGAGCTTTGTGGGAATGACGAAGCAAGCATAAGCCGTTGTGAGGAGTTTATTCGACTTCGAGACTCTGACCTCAGTGACATTGGACAACGGGTGCGATCCTCCTCCCGAATTTGGCATTCAGCCCTGGTCATGTTCTGCAGTGTAGTTGCACTCGAAACAAAGAGACGTTCCAGCGTAAAACTAACCTTGTTGCGGATGGAAGACATGCCCCCACTACATACCACGACCACAGAATCGGGACTCGTGCAAGACAATCGTTAAGCTCTTGGAAAAATCAAATGACGTTCGGGATGGCACGTGGACGACGGAAGCACGGAAAAAGTAACTGTACGTGGTTGTGTAGCACACCGCATGCACGGGATTCAAAACATGCGTCCACCATTGTTTTGGGTGTGGGGAATACTGTGCTACTACAGTGTGGTGCGATGGTACTGACATCGGGACATTCCGCGCTGTATCTCTCCGATACATGAAACATCGTCTGTCTCTGTGCATGCTTTTGCCTTATGTTGCATTTTCTCGAGCAGCCTTACCGACGAGGAAGCTTTAGAGCTAATTACGGCCAGCCCACCTCAGGGAGGACGTGGAAGAGGGAGAAAAGCCCGCCATCGTGGTGGAAATGTGGGTGCACCGAAATAACGGTATAGCACATCTATCCTCCGTTGCCAACTAACCCATAACTCGAGGCTCAGGTTGCTACTCCACACTCTACTGTAAGAGCTGTCGTATTTTACCCTCTTCGAACGTCAATGAATAGAGCTCGAGGGCGAAGTATCTTGATTTTTGAGGCTTGGACAGATGAGAGCAGGCGTTGTGAAATTATCTGATTGAAAAGGGTTGGGGACGCCACAGCTCTGCATATTCCTCGGTAAGAGAGGCTGGTGCCAAGAACCCCTTGCCGGAAGTTCCGGCCCGTGAAGTTCATGCGAATAACATGGTTATTTATGTTCATGCTAGATACTGGCTTAGATGCGACGCCAGCAACGCCGCACGGTGTACTCCTAACCTAAACATGGAATCTAGGCTTCTTCTTTGGCATGCCTCCCTCCAATCCATCCGCTTGAGTTTAATTTATGCGTGTGCGTGCCTTGCCTTAATCGTTCATAGCAATGGCACGAGGCGAAAGAAGGAGATGCAGACGTAATGGCCCTCGGAAGCGACGATGAGGGGGCGAATGACGACGACGACTTGGAGGGAAATTATGTGCCGGGAGAAGAGCTCTTCAACCGCTGCATCAACCGCACGCTTGAAGCACAGGAGGTGTGTCTGCAAAGAGAACCTGCCATCGAGATACCGGCAAAAGACTCCCGGAAACGTCTGGCTGCGGTTGAACAACGGCAGATGCAACGAAGCAAACTCTTGTACTTCGACACGGTCGAGGAAGTATGGAAACTATTAAGCCATCGAAGTGACCACATATGTCATGCTTAGACCGGACAAGGGATGATAACCATCAAGCGATACAGGTTTCGAGGCACCAATGGTGGATTCAGAGGACATTTCGAGTTCACGAGACAACGACTACAGCAGGGCATCCCTATGAAAAATATGCATAGCAGGGTTGGCACGATATCGTGTAGGCGCAAATCCACAGATTTGTCTCATATCTACGCTCTTGGAATTGACCACCCCCCGGTGCTCAACAACTTCCCCCCATCCCACCCTATTCAGGATTCAAGCGAGTACATGGTTGTGGTCGCGTCGGCGAAGTGCCTCCGAGCACTGAAGCGAGAGGACGTGTTCCGCGTCCCACCGGGAACCCGCTCCCCGCGAGCCCGCCTGTACAAGAACATGATGCCGGACATTCCCTTAGCCTTGTCACAGCCGTGTGGCCGATTTTTCCACGAGGAGGACTTCGAGTTTTCCTACCTCAGGGAGAGTCGGTGCCCGTTTAGTCGGGTGACTGACGTCGGAGACTACGGGAGTTGCTGACTTTGGATTTTTGATTGGTGCTGAGGGCCTCCCGAGAGAGATAGAGAGAGGCCTTATCGAGTAACGTACATTGTTATTGGTTGGTGGTGGTGACGAATTGTCTCGGGAAGGCCCTTGCAAACACACCAGTTTGTTCTTGAACGCCCATGCAAGGGAACGGTAGTACGGCTAGGGCAGCGTTGTGTATGTAAAAATGTGTCGTTTTTTATCTTGACAAGCTCTTTGGGCCGAACTACTCACATGCGATCGCGACAACGGATTTTTGTGCAACCTACGGGCACAGGTTAGAGAGCACTTGATGCTGACGACCGCAATAACTTTGTTGAGAAGGGCTGGGTTGCTGTCGGTCGAGCGAATGATGGAATGGGATTTTTGATTGACTGCCGTGGCATTCCCCTCCTGTTTTCTGTTTGAAAAAACAGTGTCTTCGTGTCTTCTCGAAACCTCAGGCCACGTGATCAACTCTTGTCTTGAGGAGCGGGATCCCTCCGAAAGAATCAACATGATGCCTGAGATATGTTTCTTCCCTTTTCTCTTTCGGCGGATTCGTAGCCTTGTTGAATCACAAAGCACCGCTAGCGCCACAAAAACATTTTACAACAATATTGGAGATTCTGCAGCAGCCAGTGCATCCTACGGCGGCGATCGACAACTCGACCCACAGGTTGGGGGCTCGTTCTCCGGGTACTGTACGCAAAACTGTCAGAGCAGTTGGCTCCTCACCCTCAAGGAGAGAGGGGAGGTGAACACAACCGCCGGTCCCCCGTGACCGTTGTCCTCGCCTTGTCTCCCACCGCATCATGCGGGGGGGGGGGTGGTTTCGACATTGCGTAGAAGTCACCGTTGTCGCAAAGAATTCCGTTGCGAGAAGAAAACCCGACCGGCCGGAAGGTCTTTCGCTTTGCCGCGGTATCTACCTTCCATCAAATTTGAAACGCGTGAAAGCAGACAACTCTATACTCTTCGACTCTCTCTGTTCAAGCCATGCTTGTCTCTAGAATGCCGATCCGAGACTGAGAATCTAACGAAAACTCATCACGGTAAGAGATGGCCGTGCCAATAAACCCCTGGTATGTACACCAAAGACCGAATTTTAGTGGAAAACAGGGTGGTGGATGGTATACAAAGATTCAGCGCTTCGGACCTTGGTTTGACACGATGGGCCTCTTGAATGGATCGCTCCCTTGCTCAAGAGCGCGGACGCACGAAGCCGAATGAGACAGGGCACCAGCAACCGCCAAGTAACATGAAAGAGGAACAGGCAGGTAAGGCACCGAAGAACAAAGCTTGTCCAGCCCCACACTCATTCAGTCCACGCGGTCAATTGTTCAGCCGGTCAAATCTGACAGTCTAAGGCGAACACGTACCTCATCGAGAACGTTTTATTAAACTTACACCGACAACATGTACACACCCCACCAACAAAATAATAAATTCTGGACGAAACGCCTTTCAGCACCCTACATCTACAGAATGTATAAAATTACCCCTGATAATTTCGGAGAACTAGAGCCAAATGCCGACTTACAAACACACAATCGCCCCCGTCAGAATATGCATTAAACCAGCCCCTTCCCGCTCGTCGAAACGCTCCTAAAATGTGGCACGCTAGATGCACTAGAGTACTTGGCCGTCAGGGAGCATGATTGGGCTGGGAAAGTCCGCTTTGACCATGATGTCCTTCTTGTAGCCGTCGAACTCCGGAGATACCAGGGTCTCCACGTAGCCAAACCAGTAGATCACCAGCCCAGGGCCGTACCTTTGCCAAGACAACAACGTGCCCAACACACACACACATACACACACAGCACCGTGCGATGCGAAAAAACGCTCCGCGTGATCATCCATGATTGGTTGACACCGTTCGGAAATAGTTGTCGTGTGGTCCATGGATGCTGCGGACGAAAGCATGCACCCTGAGGTTTGCTCCTGGTTGTAAACCGAGGTTTGCCGAACGCTGTGGCAGTTGAATCGGAGCTACCCATTTCGCTGTACTACCTGCCTACTGCCGCTGCTGTGAGCCGTCATTCAACCATTACCATTTACGTGGTCGAGCGATATTGTCAAGGGGGCAAGCACAACCCTGATCATCGAACGAAGCTGTGCTTCCGCAGAGAGTGGAAATAACCAGCTGTAAAGTGCGGATAGTAGCTTCACCCTCGAGGGAACCTCCTACGACTACAAATTTTGAAGCTGCTGGCGCAGAGGACAGCGGGGGTAGGTCAGGGACAAGGGAGAAGCCCCGATAGACCCTGTTCCACCCCTTACGATGTGGCGCCGGCCGCAAGCAAGCATGAAATCCGGCAGGGTTAACGGGGTTGTGAGCAACTAGAAGTAGACGCACCCACCCAGTGGCGAAGGCAACAGGGCATGCGAGCTATGCAAACAACGCTGGCGCTCACTGCCACGGCAGTAGTATGCAGACCGCGGAAGCAAAAGCAGCAGAACAACGCATTTTGGCTCTCGTTAGACAGCGAGACATAGAGGCCGCAGCCGTTGTAGAGCTGTGATGACGCCTAATTTCGCGCACCTGTTGACATAGCTGAGAAGCTGCGATTGGTGCTCCTGGACATACGTGTGCTCATCCCCGAACATGGCTTTGCTGTCGATCCAAGACACGATCACCCACTGCGACAAAACGCCGAAAAAAGAGGGGGGGGGGTCATTCACCGAAGAACGAGCATGCGTTGTACCAGAATGCTGTTAGGACAATAACAATAGAACCGAGAAGTTACCACCCATGCTTGTTTCACTCTTGAGAACAATTTTATCGTGTTGCGTTTGGGGTTTCGGTTGGAAAAGGAGGGCAGACACGGCCGGTGAGATTAGCAACCATGTGCACGAGTAAACGTCAAGGAATGAGAGGCCGCCGATGCGCTGGTAAATACCGCTCCACCTGATGCTCTCTATCCGTGCGGAGGCATGAATGGTGCGTTGGGAACTGAGGCGTGTCGGTTAATATTTCTCCGAAACAATCTCTCACCTCATTTCTAGGCCCTTTGACCGCCATCGGCGTCTGTAGTAGCATGTCCGGGGTCTTGTATGCGCCTTTCTGTCTCAAATCGGACTCCGACTCAAAGGCGACTCCCCTGTGCATAGTCGCGGTACGGTCGGTGATTGTTTTAGCGGTTCGCATCACACACACAGAAGCTACTGGAAACCCCGCGGTATGCCGAGACGGCCAAATCATCGAAATACAGGTTCACGTAATGCAGAAGAGCCGGGCGGGGGAAGACAGGCGTACCTGTACTGCCGTTGTATTTGGAGGCGGAATTAAACAGAGCTAACCCTAACCCTAAGTGTCTGGATGTGTGGGATTAAGGAAAATAAAACAAAGCGCCGGATCGCCCTCGTTCTCACTTGATACGCCTTCCCGCTACTGCAAAGACAAGCGCTTACTCGGCTTGTACATAGATGTTCGTGCTTCCATGCGACGCTTTCTCAACTACCCTCGCACAAGCACTCCTCGGACACGATGAAGCACAACCGAATCCCTTCACTTGCATGCTTTGCACCACCAGCACTTTCGACGATGCACACTCGTAGAAAACATCCCGAACCCTACATACACTTGTAGTTAGAGACAAACAGCTTGGAACAGGAGTGCAGGACACAAGCTTCTTTGAGCCAACAAACAACCCTTTCGGCACCAAGAAACCACGATGTATCACCGGTGACAACTATATTGTGACGGCGGAGCCGAGACCGAGGGTGAAGGTGTGGTTTTGTCTGCCGCCCACCGCTCACCATTTCTTCTTTCCGCGATGTTTTACGAGCTGCAAGCTCAGACGCGATTTACGTACGGAACAGTTTAGTGTCCGCAAGTTGACATTCTCTATACCTTTAAACCGGGTGAGAAACGGGCTCCGGTGGTATAAGTATGAGCGAAACTGAGTTGTCAACAATGACAAGGGAGGAAGAGCATCGGATTTTCAGAAAGTCACCTGGCGCGCAGCTTCTGCTGCAAGACGAACTCGTACTCGGCTCCCACACCTCTCCTGACTCTGTCCAGGTGTGGCGAGTAGTCCCTGTCATCAGATATGCACTCCTCCACCTCGCGTCGTAATCGCTCGTCCAAGATAAGAGAAGGCGTTCGCATCAACTGCGCTATAGCAGCCCCTGCTTGCAGGGGGAACAAGATTGAAATACGGTTTGCCACCGAGCGAAAGAGAAAACGAAGCTTCGACGCCATGTCTATCGGTTCGAATCAGTACATCCCTTGAGAATGGCAGCAAAATCACATGTCGGAAAAACGAAAATCTCAGGCCTCATACGCATCAGGCCCGTAACACTGAGTACTTTTGCGCCGTACCGTGACAGCAATGCCCGCGCCTTCAAGATACCGTGGTCCTGATTTCAGAACCGAAACCAAATCCTAATGATGCTTCTTGGAAAGTATGCCTCACAAACAGTCAATGTTGTTTGGAACCCTGGGAGATGGAGGGCAGAACGTCTGCTGCATACCTGGCTCAAGAGCTCCGACCAAGATTCTCGCCATCAAGTAAGGGGAATAGCGCAGGCCTGGTTGTCTGGCGATATCGATAATCCTCGAACCTTTCCGGTATTGAGTCCTGCCATCGGTCGGTGGAAATGGATGTCATGATGAGTGGCATTGCAAACGAACACCACCTTCACGATCTACCATGAACCCCTGGCCCTCGAGTCAACAAGGAACAAAGTACCAGGTACGATAAAAAACGTATACAAGTAGTCAGTGGTCCACCTATCAAAATCAGTTGTAGGTTGTCTCGCTTCTCAGCTCTCAGCGAACACCCACGGTACCCTCATCAGAGTGTTTTCTGCCTTACCGCTGTCTTTCTGTACCCGCTACCGACACAACAGCTTGAGGCTGCTGTACCACCTAGACTCCTTGCGGGACGCGAATTAAAACTGGACTGACTCACAGAAACTCCTTTGTGCGTTGTTTGCATCGCCAATCCACCTTGCGGATGTGCCTGCCAAGCGGAACCGAAAACCACACAGGAGCACACGAGCAGCGACGTTTGGCACTCACCAAGTTCGTTATACCACAGGCTGTTCGCGTGACCAAACGTATGTACGTAGCAATATGGGTACACTGCTGTTTCCATACTGAAAGACCCACACATGTCGAGATGAGATGAGCGGACAAGAAATGACGAATTTCGCCCCTAGTTCCCACCCCGCGACCTTGTTTACAGTGCTGCGGGCTTGGAACGGGCCAGGCGCTCGTGTATGCTCCACTTCAACGCGACACCCTGGACTGAATAGCCGCAGACTGAAGTTGTCGGGTAGAGGCTTCTTGTTGAACATTCCAGAGTGATGTGAACGATCGTGCAGGCTACTGTGCATGAAGCTCGGGGTGGACAAACGGGTGGCATATGAGGGTGCAAACGTCAGGGTGTCACCTGGAGAACATTTGTCTTCGAAGACTCTGAAGAGCATCGTAGGGCAAGCTCTCCACGCTGGTGTGCGAGGTTGTGAGGTCAAAACCACCGTCGATGCTGGCCTTGCACAGCGCCACGGCTCTGTGGTAGTCCGCCTTCAGCATGTTGCCTCTCCGTCGAAACTAGAAAACCACGTGTGTGTTCGTCCTGCCACACACCTCGAACCTCCTGCGGGATTCACCGCTCAGCTGTTGTGGCTACTGATCTATTTGTAGCAGATTTCCGTCGCAGAACGAGCATGTGCATAACGTAGACTGACGAGAGGGGCGAGGTTATACAGAGGAGCGATGTATTCGTTGGCATCCTTTCAGTTCGCCTGTGTGTTTTCCGCTTACGAAACAGCAGCATACTATGCTGAGCACCTACTGTGGTCTACTACAGGTACTTTGATAACTATGCATACAACTGCAGCAGGCAGAGAGAGACGTCTGGTCAAACAAGCCACAGCAGCAGCAGCGGATATTTTGGCCCGCTGCGCTTCAAGAGCCCTTCTGCGAATATTCGGCCGGTCTGCGTATGTAGCATATACCCATCCATGTCAGCGAAAGCGTTCACATCACGAAGGTTCGCCCTGCATGCAGTATGTCGACTCAATGTTGGATCGACGCCGAACATGATGCCGATACGTAGTGTCGAAGAGGAGCTCGCGGCAGATTGCAGATCCTTCGTTGTTGGCAATTGGTCGGGGGCTGAGGACTTTCAAAAAATTACAAAATTACCGGCGGAGAGATTTCTGATTTCCCTCAGCCTCCGGAGAGCATGTAGATGTACAGCAGCAGGTCAAATGTTAGAATCCAGAGAGGAAGAGAGGAACCAAAAAACTGAACGGCTTTCAGGATACCTTGGGTTGGCCTACTTCGGTCACGGCGCATGTTGGACACGACTACAGCAAGAGCAGGACGCACAGGGTGCAGTAATTCTGCACATGTTTACACTGCTGTTACGGCAACAGCATACACATCGAAAAGGGTTTATTTCTAATGCGATTTTTCAGAGAAAAAACAAAATAGCCTACAGAAAAACTAACGCACTGTCACCTTATACCGGGGTCGATAGCATGTTCTTCGTGCCGAGGGTGTGTGTGTGTCGGCAGTGTGGTGTGTAGTGCTATGTATCTCTCGGATCGATACGGACCCTATTTGCAGAATGGTCCTGCAAAATCCCCTGCAAAATGCAGAGAGGCTCCGTCACTTGGTACGGAGGGCATCAAATATGTTAGTCATAGCCGCGTATCCCCTCAGGTTCCCCAACGGAGCCCCAACGAGCGGATGAAAGGGGACACCACACGTCTCGCACAAAGTCAAGGGCCTTGCTTCAGCGTTTTTGTATGTCGAAAAGAGTTGGAGCTTTACCCCGCTCTGAAGAAGAAAATCGTCCACCCACTCACCGCCGTAAAGTCATGGAGACCAATGGCAGCAACAAACCGGCCGATGGGAGCAAGGTGAGCCAGCTGGTCGGTGTTTGTTCTCCCTGTTCCCAAGAGCATGGTATTTTTCTGTTCACTTCGCTACACATGGCATCGCCGGCGTGATGGCGTTTTGCTAGGCCATGCCCATGAAGATCATGCTGCATTTGTTGCTTAGGGGGAAAGCTTGGGAGCAACCACGTGGCAGATTTTTTCTCGCACCAGGCAGGGGCTTGCTGCCGCGGGATGTATATGCAATGGTTAGATTCGTTTGATGTTGGTGTCGTGTGAAGTGGTGACAGCAGTACGCCCGTTCCACGCGTCGTTTCGCGAAAGTCACCTACCTACCTGGGTTGCAATACAATGTACGGGTTGCGGGTTACGGGCACATTGCAAGAAAGTGTCCTGTGTACCACAGCCAGCAGCAATTGCTTTCAAACATACCCGGCAATCAGGCCTTGGGCAAGGTCACCGATCGTGCAAAACTTTTATTGCATGCACTCGATGTGTTCATTGGAACCGAACGCCCACACCCGAAGGAGTATTCCTCCGCGTGCCTGGGCATTGGAAATTTAAACCAGAAACAGCAAGCAGTCCAGCAGAGCGGAATCTTGTTATTTTTGGTTACGGCAGAGTACAGTACATCTGCAGAATTGCGCAGCGCTGCAAGTGCGGATGTCGAAGCGCACTCCCGTGGGCAGCCCGTGGTTGTAGTTCCCGTCAGTGATACGCATGTTCTTTATACGGCACATCGCAAATCGTGTCTACTGCTGTACCAGTACCACCGCCGCTGTTGTTGTGCGTTGGGGCGTTCGTGGGTTCCAGAACGTTACCCAAGCTGTACAATAGCTGTACCACAGGCGTAGGAACGCAGGAACCGCTACGCAGAAAGGGGACTTGCTCTCGTACACCACATCGCGTCAACTTTCAGACACGAGGGTTGCCCGAAGAAGTTTCGCCGCCTCCGAGTACTGAAGCAGCAAGCAGCTGCGGTACATATATAGTTACCAAGATGTACATAGTCTTCGAAGTATTATAACATGTTGTGCACCTACCTGGAACAGGTGATCCGTGCCTCCGCCGACAAGCTGCAACAGCAGTGGCCCCGTCTGGCCGACCCAACTCACGTACTTTCTCCGTGCGCTTCTGCTGTGTCGTGCGTGCAACCGTATCGGATTGTTGATGTACGCTCCAATGAATTTGCGGAATTGACGCAAGCAGCTTGAAGAAAATGCGGCCTTCATGGACAAGTACAGCCGGCAGATCGGCGCCTTTGGGCTGGAAGCCATGTCCAAGCTCATGAACCTCAAGGTTCTCATCGTGGGTCTCAAGTGCGTACCGTTTACCGTACCGTATCCCATGGTATTCCGTACCGTCTTGCTATCTCCTATGCCTTGCGTTTGTCGGAACGAACAAGGGTAGTTACAGAGACAGAGCTCCCTCGTGATGTCATCTACGCAAGGTATCAACACGCCGTACATCCACATCCCATCCGACGCTTGCCCAAGAATAGACGCCCCCACATTCCGCAGTGCCATGCCACCTGCACCACACGCGCGATACCAACAACAGCAGCGACATCGACTCGATGGTCTGCTCCTGCAGTTGTATGAAACCATTCGTTCGTTGTTCGTGCACCAATTGTTTCTCCATGAGAAGGGGGCTTGGCGTGGAGACAGCCAAGAACTTGATTCTAGCGGGGCCTGGCTTGGTAAGCCTTTGCGACGACGAGCCCGTGGCCATGCCAGACCTCGGGGCAAACTTTTTCCTGACGGAAGCGGACGTAGGAAAGCCCAGAGCGAGGTGAGAGCTTGTCCCAATATTAATATTTCCTCGACAGCTTGACAGCAGTTTCGGTAGTGGCTTTGGTCATCCTCACGCCTCCATTGGCCAAAATTCCTTATGCCTGCATATGGCGATATATTGCTCGGTGGGCTTGAGAGGATACCATCGCGATCGTGTTAACCGCTTTTGGTGGAACGGTTCTACAACGATTCGATGTCGCATCCCGTCTGGCGCTCGCCACAGAGTTAACCCGATACACTGATACCCTCCACGCGTCCGATGTCCGATGGTTGCCGCATGTCCTTCTCCACCCTCTGCCCGGCCCACCCTATTATAGAAGAACGTATGTACCACGGAGATCATTCAAATAGCCGTTCCCGTCTTGTTGCTACAGTTCATCCCCCCAGGGATCTGTTTCCCGTCTGCCCGTATCGTGTACACCGCGTGCGCTATGTATCCCCCGAATTCCCTCGCCCCCTTTTTTACCTCTTTCTGAATACCTGCGTATTATCGTCGCCCTTGCGCACCCTGCCCCGCAGCTGCGTCGCCAGCAAGCTGCAGGAGCTGAACTCGATGGTGACCGTGAAGGTGGTGTCGGGAGGCCTAACCGAGGAGACCGTCGGCTCTCACGGGGTGGTGGTGATGTGCGGCCGTTCGGGGGAAGAGGCGGCCAAGTGGGACGCCTTCTGCCACGAGAAGGTGAGTAAGACGGGATTGGCTTGGCTTGGCTGGGCTGGGCTGGGCCTGCAGCCTCGTGTCTGTCTTGCTCTCTTGAGGAAACAGGGGCAGGGTTTGGGCAGCAACCTGCGTTGAGTGACCAACCGTGCCTGGAAGCACGGCCAGCTCTTGTGCTCGATCCCGCCAAGAAGAGAAAAGCTCTACCGACGTCACGTGTTGATGTATTTTCTTCTCCTTTCCGTACTTCGCTTCTGCTTCAACCTCACTTCACTATCTCGTGTGGTACCGGCTTGATTGTAGGTCGTGTGTCCTTGCCAGGACTACTGCTGTGTTTGCCCGTTCTTCTCTTAACTCTGTACAGTACACAGGTAAAACCTCCTGTGTGCCCCTCCTTTTCTGTGTGTTTCGCGCAGTTCCATGTGAGCTGACTAGTTTGTTCGGGGGTTTTCGCATATGTCTGGGTTGTTCTAATCCATGGCTGATCGGTTCAGCGCATGTTTTTATCATGATATTTTTGCCGTTAATTTTTTGTCATGGCTGTGCTCCGGTATTTTCTCCCCGTTTATTCTTATTTGTGATACGAAAGGGCTCGATCTTCATCTCGGCGGGTACGATGGGTGCCTTCGGTTTCGTGTTCAGCGACTTCGGGAAGGCGTTCTCCGTGCGGGATGTCAACGGAGAGGCCCCCTCCAGCCGCATTATCACCGATGTGAGAGAAGAACTCAATGTCGCTTTACATGACCCGGCATTTTCTTTTCAGAGCTATACATACTCCGAATCGATTGTAGTTCACGTGATTCTTTTCCCCACAGCTAGTTCAAGAGAGCCTTGAAGGGGAGACAGCGTCCACCTCCGTCTGCACTATCCTTTTGTTGGTTCTTGTTTACCCGCTCACCCTTGCATTTGTGATGAAGGGAGTGTCTCCGTCCTTTAGAGCAGTTTGGTTGATGTTGGCCTTCGTTGATGTATCTCAGCCGTGGTTGCGTAGGCCTTGGCGGCAGCGGTTACGCTTCGCGTAACGGTAGTTCGTTTCCTAGTCGGAGGAGATGTTAATATTGAAATGGCATGGCGCATCTTGACCTACACCTAGATGGGACGGCCAAGAATATGTAGGCTCGTGGAATCTATCTATGTATCTCTTGGTGTGGACGTGGGCGTCGTAGTACGCATTCATCCCCCTCCCCCCTCTCTTCTTCATTCCGGTGCAAACCTGCCCTCTCTGTGAATTTATCGAACACATGACACAAGTGCATGTCATACGCTTGTATTCCTTTTGTCGCACCTCGTATGCGTCGTGGCGATGGCGATGTCCCTCGATAAATTCAGGTCTCTTTGGAAGAGGAGGGAGTCATCACGTTGCTGGGGGCTCTCGATGAGGACGGCGGTCGGATGCACGGCATGCAGGAGAACGAGGTACAGCAGTGAATTTCCCTACAATGTACGCTATATAAACCACGTTTTTGTGTGGGGGGGAGCCAACATCGATGGACTGGCGGGACTGCCTCCCGCCCGCTAATTTAACCGCAGCTTCCGGAGGAGGATCTTATCCAACGATATGCTCTGCTACAGGCGGCGGTCAAGTGTAGATGGGTGCGAAGCAGCAAAAGCAGCCAGCACCCCAATATTTCGTCGCTATCAGTTAGGCGTAGGCAGGCTGGCAAATGTACATGGCGCAAATGCAGCGAAGCGCCCAGCACCCCAGTATTATTGTCGTCATTCCCCTTGAGACATACATGGTACAGTGTTAAGAGGTAGGAAAAGGGTGGCTTGCGTGGGGTGTACTATGACGCGGTGCCTCTCTTGACATTCAGCACAGGCGATGGTGCAGTGTCGGGTGCTATTTTGGACCGCCTTCGCGCGATTAGTACGTTTATGAGCAAGTAGAAGGGAGGGGGTACACAGACCGCATTCCCTAACCCTAACCCTAACTCAACTTGCCCGATTGCATGCTTCATCCAACACGTTTAGTTAGTCAAAAAACCCTGCCAAGGCCACTGGCTATTGTTTTTCTTATTCTTGAGTGTGGCCCAGGCGGGCACGCTGCCTGTGCCACCCAGCTACCGTGCCGTGATCATCAGTTGGTGGTTCTGAGTCGCGTGAAGGGATTTGCCCGTTGCTGCTGATGATGCCGATCGCCGCCTCTGAGTTTCTGACATTTTGTGGTGGGCGTGCGTTTGCGTTCTGTGTGTTTTATGACATGACGGTTTTGGCAGCACGACGGTTGGATCGAGCTGTCTGATGTGGAGGGGATGGTTGCGAAGGACGGCAGCGGCAAGACAATCAACGATACGGGCAAGATCAAGATAAAGACCTGCACCAAGAAGGTAAGGCGTGTTCGATTGATACCACGACATATACTCTTATGGCGAGAGCCTGTGGGATGTCATACCTCTCTCCTGTAGCGATATCCTATACAGGCAAGTGAGATTTCCTGTTCCCCATGTGATTTTTTTGTTTTTTTCATGTGAAATGAGATGCTTCGGGATGAACGTGGTATGGGATGGGATGCACGGTTCGGCTGACGGTTTCCGGGAAAGGTTTTTTAAGACGGTCCTTACAAGACGGTAAATTCCGCCGTCTTGGACGAGAAATATGTGCCGCAGACTTGTCTAGCCGTGTACTGTATGTGACTGCGTTGTGTGTGCACCTTTCCACTTTCCACATGCCCCTGTCTTCTGTGTTTGGCCAGGTGTACGGGCGTATCGTGCGTGATGACGTCATTCATGTGTTCGCCTCGCCAACAGCCTCAGATGGTTGATGGGTAATTCAACACCACCCTGACATAAAGGCCGCTTCTTTTTGCTTACCTGTTGTGGGTGTTTGGTTTGCCCAGGTGACGGTTACGGAGGAGAAAGACGGCAAGAAGGAGACCAAGGAGAAGACCGTCTTCGACCCACACCGCCTCAAGATGTGCCTGGACACCACCAACTTCTCCGCCTACGAGAACGGAGGGATGATGAACCAGGTACGAAACGTGTCTGAACTACGCTGCCCACATGGCGCTTAGAGTGTCTGCCGTTTGAAACGCTTTGTTTCCAGCTCGACGGGGTTGATTTTACCGAGACAATTCATGTACAGTATGTTCGACGCAGTGTGTGGGTAGAGTGTTCTTCATCCTGCCACCGATCCTGAGACTATTCCAATTCTAACCCTTCCTTTTCCTTTTCCGCCCTCAGAGTACAGACCCTACCCCAAACATGCAAGCACCATACCTCTGGGAGAAACGAATTGAGAAATCCTCAGGTTCCGCAGGCTTGTCGTCTCTCTACTCACTACCATGAACTTGCTTGGCATTCCATGGGATGCTGCGTGATGTACCACTGCTTGCGTGCTGATGTGTTCATTTCAGGTGAAGGTCCCCGTGACCAAGACCTACCTCCCGCTCCAGAAGCGCTTGGTCCAGCCGGTGAGAACGAGGGGAAGACTTGCCACTTTTCTTCACTGTTTGTAGCACTGCCATCCACGCATTGGATCGTCTGAAGTATCCGAAAACGGGCGACCGGCACGATCGAAAGTTCTAGGCACGGAGGCTGTGTTTCGGGTGGGGGGGGTATGCATGGGCGCCGTCTTTAGACTGGAGACACTCGCGTTCAAGCAAGCCGAGACGGATCGGTAGAGTCTTTGTGGCATGTCGCGTCGATTTATGCTGGTGTCGGGAGGAAAGCAGAGGATGCCAGACGATACCTATCCCCCCCCCCCCCTGCTCCCGTATTGATGCACGTGCCTCGTAGACACGTCTTTCACTGAGTTTGTCGGTGATGTAGATGTGATATTGCTGCCGCAGCCCGCGACGGGAGTGTTGCAAAGGAATAAAATGGTTGAAAATTCCTCTCCGTCTATAGCTCTTTTTGTCGTGGAATATACCTTGTCTCGGAATGCATTCGCCTGGCATACCGGTAGCACCACTTACATTTTGACGCCCGGGACATGTCGAATATCCTCAAGTATTTCCCAGAACATGGGTTTTTCGTGCGATCAGACAAGTCAAGAGGATCACACTTAAAATTGTGGCATTCCGCATACCAGTATGGTATGGTATAGTACGGTAGGGATTTTTTTTTCATGTTCTTGTTCTTGTTTGTTCATGTCTTTTTTTCCCTCTGTCTGTTGGAAGGTGCCTGAGGGGGAGTTCGGCCTTCTGTTCACGGACGGCTCCAAGTTCGGGAGGGCGGAGCAACTCCACCTGGCTCTGCTGGGACTGTGGGCGTTCGAGAAGAAGGAGAAACGCCTACCGCAGGCTGGGAACCCTGAGGAAGCGGAGGTTGTTGTCAAGCTCGCCGAAGAGGTGACGATGATTTTTCGTTGTTGTTCGGACCGTCATGTTTTTTCTGCACGGCGAAAGTGCATCAATCCGTGTTAGGTACAGCGTTACAAGGATCGTGTGTGTTTTTGTTTTTCTCCGCGTTTGCACCTTCCAAGAGGACGTGTGACGAGGGAGGGATTCATCGCTTTTTCCGGCTGGATCCGTATGGGAGGCGGAGGTGCTACGCAGCATGTTTGCTCGAGGCGTGAAGACAACAACAATCACCGCAGAACGCATGCACATCTGTTTTCCGTTTTGGAGTCTTGGTATGGTGTATTTTGTGGTGTTGAGTGTTGTGTGCTGTGGCGTTTTATGGTGTGGTGTCACCCCGTTCATTCTGAACGGTATTTGGTCTTGCTTTGTTGTGCTCAATTTAGTGCCGCCCACCATGTTTGCGTTGCTCTGTCCATCTTGTCTCTGCCGTGGGAAACTCCCTTCCCCTGGCAAAGGTGAATGCGGAGCACAAGAAGCTTAACGAGGCCACCGAAGGATCCGCTCTTTTCCTGGAGGAACTTGACAAGGTATTGCTTTTATCCAGTGAGCGGTTTCTGTGAAGAACATTCCGTTTACCGCACCGCATACCGAACTTTGCCGTCGACCGCAAACCTTGTCCACGTTGCCTTTTACCGGGCCGTACTGTATACCGTAGCCGTAGCTTCGCCTCAACGCCATGGCCGTCGGTCGGGGTAGCCTATCAGGTGTCATGTACCTCCTAAGGAGTGCGTGCTCAAAGACCCACCTATAGCAGCGCCACCGCTGCATCGTTGAACACACCCCGCCTCTACCCCTGTTCGTACTGTACCTATGCGCTTCGTCTGTCTTGTACCGCGGCGCCGTACCTTACTCTTTACTCTACCGCACCGTACTGTACCGTACTCTACCGTACCGTACCATGCCGACCATACCACACCGTACCGTACCGTACCGTGCCATACCGTTTCGTGTCTTACCTGGCTGTACCGAACTGTGCTGTACCGAACTGTGCTGTACCGTACCGTACTTCCCGCCAGGACTCTATCCGGAAGGTGGCGCTGTACGCCTCTGCGGAGGTACAGCCCTTGGCGGCCTACTTCGGTGGGGTGGTCGCTCAGGAAGTGGTCAAGGTCACGGGCAAGTACACACCGCTCGACCAGTGGCTGCACCTCGACTTCTTGGAGGTGTGTGCGTATCATACATGTACAGTATGCACATGCTATGCTGTGCGCGTTTGTAAGAACATGTTTGGGAGGTACGCTTGTATGCGCGCGTGTACAAGAATGTTTCGCTCACCTGCACTTGGAGGTTGCTTGCCGGTGCGATAGATGCGGCAACACGCTTGATTCGATGACATTCACAACGTTTTCTAGACATACATGCAAACAGTCGCTAGCATCAATGAAATCAACTTAGTTCCGATCGTCGTAGATTCGATTCCTTGTTTGGTGCCATGGGATGGGACGGGACGGGATGGTACCCAGATGCTGCCCGATGAGGTCGCCGCGGACGGAGCGCCTACTGGGAGCCGGTACGACCACGTGATCCGCCTGTTCGGTCGGAAGTTCGTGGAGGACAAGATCATGAACGCTAGGACCTTCATGGTATGTTTTGCGCTGTTGTTGGTCGTGATCGTGGACGCTACGCTAGGACATACAAAAAGAGAATGCTATTTTGGACTCTCAGGTAGTGAATGCTAGTGGGATATCCATGGTAATGGACGCTATATAATAGAACTTATAATGGCCATGAACGCTGCGCTAGGACTTGAATGGTAAAGAAGCTTTGATGGGGTTTCTCATGGTAGAGTGAAGCTACAGTGGTGGGATATTCATGGTATTGAACGCTATGCAGTAGGGTTGTCATGGCATTGAACGTACTAGGACTCCGATGGCGACGCGATGAGGCGACGAGCCTGCCGGCGCCTTGGTTGACGGCATTGTTAAGTGATTCAGCATGTGTAGGAGCTGATGGTCAAATGACGTCGGTGGTGTCGTAGTGAAGGTTAATAAAGCGGGTGTATCCTGTGCTATAGCGAGAGGCACTTGTGACAATCGGTTCGCTTTTGTAAGCCGCTGCTCTTGGTGTTTCAACGATAGCGTGTGTTGCTGCCAACAATTTTGGGGCGTATGTGTGTCTTGTGTGAACATGCCAACCAACACGTGAGCATGTGTGTGAATGTGAACATCAGGTAGGGTGCGGTGCTCTCGGGTGCGAGTTTTTGAAAAACTTCGCTCTGGTAGGGCTGGCTTGCGGCGAGAAGGGGATGATCACCGTCACGGACAACGACAGGATTGAGGTATGGTACCGTACGGCACGGTATGATATGTTATGATATGGTCAACAGGATGAGGTAGGATAAGGTAGGAAAACTATGGGCCCCAAGCAACATGGCGGAAGCGAGAACAAATGGCGCTAATGGGCTTCTTTAAGTCATGAGAGAGAGTCTGGTGTGTTTTTGGTTTTGGTGGCGTGCATGTCCGTGAACGTTGTTAGTTCTGCAGCGTACCGTCCGCGTTTGGTGTAAGCCTGTAACACACTCGAGTGTTTGTGGCATTGTATATTTATTAACGTTTCAACTCTACAAGTTTTTTCGTGGGAGAAGGCCGGAGCAAGCTGTCCGTTGTCGTTTTGTTGCGTTACCCTCGATGTTGTTGTTGCTGTAACTTCCGTGCTTCTCGATGCCGTTATTTCGAACTTTTCCGAAAGGACGTGGTACAGCAGCACACATTTATGCTTTAAACAATAATGTCGATGTTATTTTTTGCGAGGCACGTTGGCCTGTCCTCGTCCATACCACGTCGTTTCGCTATTGTCCTTGAATTTTTCCCTGTCTTGTTGTCGTTTTTGTCATATCCCAACCTTGTACCGTCACCACAGCCCTGATTCCATGTTCTGCTTGTTTCCGATCCCGCTCCAACAGGTGTCCAACCTGAACCGCCAGTTCCTGTTCCGAGAACACAACGTGGGTCAGGCAAAGAGCGCCGCAGCTGCGATAGCCGCCAAGGCCATGAACTCGACCATCAAGGTTAGTAGCATAATTCGGTCAGTCGGCCAGTGCGCTTCCTCGAGAAGAAAGAATCGTGTTTGCGATGTCACGCCACGTGTGTATGGGGCGGTTCCGCAACGATTTGAAGGCGCGGGCGTGTTGTTGTGTGTTGTGTTGTTGGATAGAGGGCATGTATTTGGCTGTGGCTGTATTGGCATGCCGTCTGGTGTGTCGTGTGCCATCTCTACAGATCTATACTGCTCTCTGTTCTTGCCGTCGCTGAGGGAGCCCTTGCTGTTGGTGTTGTCCATGCGAGGTGTAGCCACGCAGATAGTAAGTCATGGTTGTGTGCGAGAAAAATCGTCCTCACGATGCCCATGCTTGCGGTAGTGCAGCAGCTGCACACAGCTGGCATTGATTGTGTGCCAAGAGGCGAGAGGCGTACATTCCTTCGCTACCTATACGATGCGATGTGTGGTTTCTGAGTCGCCTTGTTTGTGTGTCAACATATGTCAACATGTGTCAACATGTGTCAACATGTGTCAACATGTGTCAACATGTGTCAACATGTGTCAACATGTGTCAACATGTGTCAACATGTGTCAACATGTGCATCAAAACGAGGAAGATCTAGGGGTTATTTTGTTATTTTGGTGGTGTTGCTTCGCTGCGTGTGCGTCGAAGGCGATGGTTGTGTTTAATGGTGTTTCTCTGCGATTGCGTTTCGGCGTGTGTCTGTCTGTCTTGTCAGCTGGACGCGCGAGAGGACTTTGTGTCTCCAGGAACTGAGAACCTGTTCCAAGACAAGTTTTGGGAAGGCCTCGACTTCGTCACCAACGCCCTGGACAACGTTAAGGCCCGCCTTTACGTCGACTCGAGGTACGCCCTGTCTGTCTGTCTGTCTGTCTGTCTGTCTTTTGTCCTTCTGTCTCTCTCTGTGCCCACCTGTTTGTCTGTTTCTCAAGTTTGAGAATGACAGCGTGATCACATTCGTGTTGGCATTGCTTTCAGTTATCTGGTGCTGCTGCCGTTTCGTTTTTTGCGGTTACAGCAGCTGCAGTGAACCATTACCACATGGCATTGCGTTCCACTCATACCAATACCACGTCGCGTCTTTGATGATTGTTTATTTTGGGGATGTGCACGCATGTACGACGGTATCATACATTGTTGAGGCCAAAGCATCGTCAAACGGCACACCCTTCAATCTACCTATGCACTGGGTGGATGGACGTGGCGCTGCATTCACGATGGCATAATCACTACGGTAACCACAAGAAAACCAGTCCTGTGCACGGCTTGTTGTAATAGTTTTTGTTTTGCTGTGTTCGTTGATGAACGCGTGCAGTGTTGGCGTTTGATGGCTCTGACACGCGTCTGTTCTTCGCAAACGAACGGACCGTTCAACGGGGTTTGTTTGAGCTTGATTGATTGATTCGTGCCGCCAAAAACAGGTGCGTGTTCTACGGCAAGCCTCTGCTGGAGTCGGGAACCCTCGGCACCAAGTGCAATGTCCAGGTGGGGAGGAGAAACACGGGCTTGCTCTTACTCCGGAGTGAAAGTTTCCATGACAATGACCGATTGACCGACTTCTGCCAAACGCGAGCGTTCATTTGCGCTATTCGGTACTGCCGACGATATGCTCGTTGGTTGGTGACAGTGTTTTTGCTGTTGGTCGTTGCAAGACCGCACTAACTACTACGGATTGTGAAGGGCAAGAGCTATTGAAAGATTAAATGTACCTTCCCCGTTCGTGAATATTGTTCTCCCATTTACAGCAGTTTCCATGTCCCGTGAAGGGTCCCATGTTGGATGCAGCGCGTGGTTCGATTGTTGTACACACGGCTACAGCACGAGGACGCGGACTTGGCCTGCGCTGCCGTGCAATGTCTCTATCTTACCACCTAGCCACCACACCACAGGATCCTTTTTTTTTTTTTTTGTAGGTCCGAAGTCTCGGCGTATTGAAATCGTCTGTTGAATTTATGGTACAGGAGGGTAGTGGCATGCGTGATGATAGACGTGTTGTTTTCCCGTGTGTCTCCCTGTTGATGATACATGCACAGTATCATGCATCATTTATCAGGATATGCATAGGTTGGGCCATTGGTTGTGCGGATGCTGCTCCGACTTCTCCCTACGACAGTTTTCCTGCTTGTGCTCGTTCGCTGCATGGTGTGGTCGATCTTACGCGCGTGGTTGTTCACTTCATGCGCATACACGGCATTTTGCTCCTATTGCCGTGTGCGTGCTTGCATTGGACACGCAGGTAGTGGTACCTCACGTTACGGCAAGCTACGCGGACGGTCCGAAGGACCAGGCTGACGACGCTATCCCCATGTGCACGCTCAGAAACTTCCCCTCCCTCATCGAGCACTGCATCGAGTGGGCAAGGTAGGGAGGGATGTCGCCCCATTGTTTTTGGTCAGAACCCACATCGATACGTAAACACGTTAAGCCCTGCCGTCGTCGGTACGTGCAGCAATTAGTAGCTCTGAGTGGTGCGGTGGTTGGTGGGGTCTGCTTGCATGTCATGTATAGCCCGACTGTTGTCGCATTGGCTCATCTCACGAACGAAGATTCATATGTCTTGCGTCCCGCATGGGGCTGCAACTTGCTGCATATCGGTGTCACGTCTACCGTGGACGAGGGTACCACGGTGTAAGTTGTTCTTTTATCGTAGTCGCAGCTTTAGCTATTTCTAGATCCCCGTTTGTTATGACGTCACAACTTGTCACCTGTCTTGTCATGTGTCAGGGCTCAGTTCGAGGATCTGTTCGTCGGACCCTTCGCCGAGGCCAAGAAGTTTTGCGAAGACAAGGAGGCTTACCTGAAGCAGGTATGCTTTGTTTGTTATTGTTGGCTATGGTGCACAACGTATCGAAGGACACCAGCAAAGTTGGAAAAGAGAAATATAAGACCTGCACAAGTACATGCCTTGATTCGTGCTGAAATGTACGCACGCACGCTTATCTTGTGATGGTCAGACGCGTTCTTTTTTTTGTTTGCGGAGATACACTCGCTTCAGCTTCCTTTTTCCGATCAGTGTGTGGTTTGTTTCTAGTTCAGTATGAGTATCCTCCTTGAAACTGTCGAGTACAGTCAAGAGAGTGAGGACCCAAGGGCAAGCGAAAACAACCGTATGTACTATTATGTAAGGTTGTGCAGCTATATCCTTTTCAGCCCTGCTGATGACTACAAGTACCCTGAGGGCTCGCCACAAGGTGGGCTCGATCTACCGGAATTGTAAAAGCGACACCAATCGTGCTTTACCCACAGCTGTTCTGGTGGTACATATTGGATGGCTTCCCTTCTGTGTTTTCTATTGTACGTTGTAGTGAAATGCGCTTTGCATCCTCTTGGGAGGTCGATCGATGTGTAAGTGCCGCACTTCGAACCTACCACCGGGGTGATACTTTGTCGCATCTTGTTGGCTTTCGGAGACTCACCGTGGTCCCTTTTCACCTTTGTATAACCTACTATAATAAGTATCACCAATCGTAGCCTTGCCATGGTTTGTCTGTGGTTGGATGTTCCAACAGGTCCGGGAGGCTACGTTGGATTGCGATAACAGGGGCAAGGCCGCCTCGGCCACCGCCAAGGCTCTCGAGGACCTCGCCAAGCTTAGGACCACCCTGGCCTTCGCGGACGGAGCGACGTTCGAGTCGTGCATCCAAGAGGCGTGCGGGCGTTTCTACGCCTTGTTCAGGGACAAGGTGTTGCAGCTCACGCACAATTTCCCCGAGGTGATAGCCATGGTTTGATGTTGGTTGATTTTGATTGATTTTGGCATGATTTGGTTGATTTTGGCTTGATTTGGTTGGCGTTGGCGATCTTGCTTGCGGTCAAGACGTAAGCTTGGGCGTGAACTAATGAATCGTGGGTATCGTGAGTATCTTCTATCTACTGCTGCCGCGAGGGTGTGGCTCTCGCGACTGACGCCGGTTGTATGCATACATGTTCCCGCCTTACCATCTTTGACGATTTCCTCTGCCACTAATGTATGTAGCACGGCCGTGCGACCGGGCTTTGAACTAATTTCTCGTGCCCGATGATCGACGACCTAGGCGGCACACACGATATCAACCACACCCAATACCATACATCAAACATCAAACATCAAACACCAAACACTCAACAGGAAACGCACCATGATAACACACACGATGCGCGCTCTTTTGTGACGCCTCGATAACCATCCGTCTGTAACAGGACCACGTCCTCGAGTCCGGGGAGAAGTTTTGGACCGGAGCAAAGCGATTCCCGCGGTCGGTGGACCTGGAGATGGACTCCGAGCAGCACGCGGCCTTCGTTCTCGCCACCGCCAACCTGCTGGCGGCCGGTTGCGGCCTGTCCCCCCAGGAGGAAGGCCTGCTTCCGTTGGAACACCCACAGCGCAACACGGAAGGTGCGTTTTGTATGGTACGGATATGTCTTCTGCGATACAAGTACGGGATGGATTTTGCGGTTTCTTGATATGGTATTGGTTGGGTTTTCTTTTTTTTCGGAGGGGGGGTGAGGTGAAATGTTTACGTTTCACGGAATAAGCCAGATGTTTGTCGTGTTTGTTCGCCTTTGTCGGTTCCGGTAATGACGAAATTCGGGGAGAAGCTAATCAAACATTCTGATTGATTCTCCTGACGTGGAAAATGCCGGGCGGGCGTTCTCGTGCTACAACAATCGCAATCCCAAATAAACACTATCCCAGAACTTCAGGAATTTGGATTTTCGAACATCGTTAATGTTGGGCCTTTAGTGCAAAGCCCAAGAAAACAAGGGTCGTTGTTTTCGGGGTTGGATTCGTCGACTACAGTTGATATTGTGTTTTTTTTTTGTCTTCTCTCTTTTCGTCTTCTCTCTTTTTGTCTTCTTTCTTTTTGTCTTCTCTCTTTTTGTCTTCTCTCTTGCAGTTATGTGTAGCACGGATTCAATGAGTAGTTACTCGCGCCGTTTCCGACGGCTGTGTCTGCATAACACAGAAAGAAGAGTCTCCGATCTTTGTTGAAGCGAGCCATGACGAGACCAATTGCATTCGGCATTGTCGTTGTTGCCGTGGGGTTTGTTCTGTGTTTTGCTTCACCCACTCATCGCTGCTGTTCGCTGCTCTTCGGTGTTGTGCATGTTGCGCCGTGCTGTGTTGTGCTGTGCTGTGCTTTCGTTTTACATTTTCTCAATGTGGGTGTGATGTGTTACACTAGCCGTGCGGAGGGTGGCGTCGGCGATGGACGTGCCCATGTGGGAGAACACCGGAGAGAAGACAGACCTCAGCGAGGGGAACGAACCCAAGCCGGGAGACGAGAAGACTGAAGAGGTGTACAATACAGCAGTGTCGACTGTTTACCATTGTAATTGGAAGCAACTAGCGAATGAGATTATTTGCGTCACTTCCGTGTTGCTTCTATAAATATCGTTGTTGTGATGCTGGTCACCTTAAGCGACATCAACAGCCACCTTTTTTCACTTTGTTGATTTCGTTTTCCGTCTGTTTGTATTTTTGTAACGGCTTTTGAGGTCGTGACCGAAAGCTGTTCACAGCGACACGGGCGTGACATCCTGTGTACATGTAGTTAATTAAGACTTAAGACTGATGCTTGGCAATTTTTTCATGGTCTCGCCATCCTCTCATGGTATTCTCGTGTTGAAATGTGATTAATCTCGGTGATGACCTTATTATTTGGCGGTATGAAGAGCAACACCCTCGTGGTGCTATATAACGATACTAAACGTGACATCGTGATGTTGTGCTCCGCGATAACACCTACCTGGTGCATTATAACCCAGCCGGAAGACCCCATGGACCTGGAGGGAGCTTCGACGGAGCTTTCGAAGCTGCTAGTTGAGGTGGGCCGCGTATTCCCATGCCATGCCATGCCTCACTTTTCTGAATGAAATGTGTTTGCTAGCTGGAGATATGATTCCGGCGATGAGAATTATCCACGGATTAAATTGGGCTCCGGGAGTGTAGCACACGAAGTGCAAAACATCACGGCAAAGAGTGGATTTTGTAGTCGTTGTAGAAGTACTTGTTATGCTTCAGTCGGCCACCGTGTCCGCTGGGTAGCTGACTCGCTGTTAACTTCTGCGCCGAACTTCTGCTCCCGGTTTTCGTGCCTATACGTGGCCGGTGTCCCACCATGACGTTGTGCACATGGTCGTGTGTGTGGTATGGACGTTTGGGCGTTTTCCATGCTTGGTTGTCGCATGTCGTGTGTGTGGTGCCTTTGGGCGACTCTTCATGCTTGGTGTGTCGTGTGTCGCGTGTCGTGTGTCTTGTGACGTTTGTTGTAATGCTGCCGCGGTGCTCGTGTCGGCCCAGCTGTCGGCGGTGAACGTGAGCAAGTTCCGTTTCGAACCGGCCGACTTCGAGAAGGACCAGGACCTCAACTTCCACATCGACTTCATCTCCGCCACCAGCAACATGAGAGCGTGGAACTACCGGTAAGTACTAAGCACCGACACTCACCTCATATAGATTTCATGCCAATGTCCGTTCGAAAACAAACTATAAAAGACACCGAAATCAAACTAGTCATCGCTGATTAGTCACGCTATTGGTGTTGTGCCGGCTGAATGCTCTATAACAATGGTGTGGTTTAGGCTTCTATGAGAGCTAGCCGTGGGGTCCGAATGATCCTATATCACGCTTCCACTCCGAGGAGGGCGCCTGGCTCCCCTCGCCCGCACTGCTATGTATTGCATCCATCTCCATCTAATGTTGTTCGTCGCTGCATTTACTCCGCTCCACTCTTGTCAAGGACGGCCTCGTGGCTCTACGCGATCACGGTGCTTTGCAGCTGCCCGTTGCCTTTTCGCGCTCTCGTGGATAACGTCGAAATTACACTCATCCCCCTGGTCAACCCAATCGCATGTGTTCATCCTCCGCCGTTGCCGGCCGTTGGACTGGTCAGCGGTGCCTAGTTTTGAGTTCTGCTTCTGCAGGACGAACTTTATCCCCCACACCCACATCACGGCCAGGTAGCACCGTACCGGAGTACAGTACTCCATGCCATGCCAGCACCACGCCTGTCAGGCCCCTCTCTCGCCCGCCCCCCTCTACGTCGATTGAAGACTTCCATCGCCTCCACCACCCCACACCACCTAACATCAGTATGTTGACGATCGTCCGTCAGCAAGATGGATTGATCAAAAGCAGAGGCAGGCCTGCATCACACACATGCACTGGCGTGCAAAGCCTACAATCGGCACTTGGAAGACCGGTTCGTGTACATTGCGTCCCCAAACCTGAAAAATAATAAATACAACCCAAATCACAACCAAACAGCACCACATACTCGAAGGTTTATTGCGTCCCTGAAACTGAAACCTACGAAATACCCAAACCAAATTAAGAAGACACATCTGTTCATTGTTCTTTCTTTGTCGCCTCTTTTGTTTTGCATGTGCTGTATCATAGGTCGTCGTGCTGCATGTATCCAAGACGAAGTAATAGTTGTTCCCTTTCGCGTCTCGTGTTTCTCCTCTTGCGCTAGGATTAAGGAGGCTTCCCGCCACAAGATCAAGATGATAGCGGGCAAGATCATCCCCGCCATCGCCACCACCACCGCATCCGTGTGCGGTCTGGTCATGATCGAGCTCTTCAAGGTGTGTGTCTCTCACAGTATCTGGCGAATTTTTTGCGCACCTGCGTGATGCATGTTTGCCAGCTGATGCTGCATGCAGAGGCTTAACCTGGACATGAAAAGCCAACATACTCTTCGCGTCTTTCTTGCCCCAGCAACGATGTAGAGAAGAAGCATCAACACCCAGAGAAAGCCGATAGACTATGATTAAATACCTCTCTACCATACCACCATGCCGTTGTGGTAGTCTGAGACTTGGTTATTTTGGTAGCTTTCGAGGCAAACTCTTCCCATCCTCTTGTGTTTCTGCAGGTGCTGCAGGGCAAGAAGCTGGACTGCTACAAGGACTCGTCCAACAACCTCGGCCTCAACAGCTACTTCTTCTCAGAGCCAGGTATGCTATTCTATTCTATTCTATTCTATTCTATTCTATTCTATTCTATTCTACAATCGTGCACGTTCTTACCGTGGTGTTGTAGAATGATGCACCTCTCGTGGGTTGTTCGAAAGCGCTGCTGATGTCTCGCCGAAATGTTTGACGGGTGGTTATTGGACGAGCTAGTAAATGGAGCAGCTGATACGAATGCTGTTGGTTACACTGGTATCGGACCAAGAAGGGTATGCACTTCGGTTCCCTAGCTGCGAAGTCCATGTTCAGCGCTGGGCTTCAACAGTCGCGTCCTTGCAATTTCTTGGGTTCGGCCTTTGTGATTCGGCCTTTGTGACGGTGTTGTACGGCAGCGGCGCGCTTTTCAAGCAGGCGGGTTTGGCGTCCTTCATCAAGGGGTGTTGTCGTCTCCGACATGCATCTCAGAAAGCCAAGTCGTGCTCTCATCACGCCTCGATTTCTACGTCATCCAGTTGAAACGGCTCACGTGCCAAGTGACGAAGAGCGTTGTTCTATGATAGTTTTCCAGCCGATATCCACAGCGCGGCAGTCAAATACCCCTACATAGTCTAACGACTACACTGCCGCATGTTTTTATTCACGAGAACCCCCCCCCCCCCCCCAAAGAACGATTGACCAACGGTGATCGGTCCTGAGGGAACAATGCTCCTTCCCTCGAGGACGCGCTGTCAATGCTCTAACCGCCAAGGGTGCTAAACATTAGTCCGCCCCCCCCCTAGGTGTTTGCCATCCGGGGTTGGGTTTTCGTCGCTTGGCAACGACTTTGTAAAAAAAGCCAATTCACTTCGTGAACTCGGCAACCAGGTTACCGTTTTCTTTTTTACCTCTGTTTTTTTTTTTGCGGTAACCATGAATGGGGGTCATCATGTTGTGCGGGGTCGAGAACCCTCACTCCGCGCAAGGGGGATGATCGCACCACGTTGTGTTAAAATGGTCAAGCATCCTCGAGGCAGTTACACAGTGCTTACAACTGTCTCTGGAAGTGAAAGCACCAGAAGATAAAGTAAGTCATACGCAGCTGTCATTCGTACGCAAGGAAGTAAGCACAAGATGCCGAACACCCTTAGCAGGATGCAGCGCACCGTTCATGCGACTCGCCGAATACCTCACGGCGCTTCGCGCTTGGTGATGTGAGAGCCTGGTCCGGTGCGAACCCGGTGTGCTCCGTCCCGGCTTTGTAGGGATGCGAGGTCAATGGTCTAACGACTACGGCATGCACGACTATGAGTACCCCCCCCCCCCCCCCCCCCCCCCCTTTTTTTTTTTTTTTTTTTCCCCCTTTTTCCCCCCCCCCCCCCCTTATTCCCTCAAAAAAAATTCCCCCCCCCCCCCCCAAAAAAAAAAAATACCCCCCCCCCCCCTTCCCCAAAATTAAAAAACCCCTAATACCCAAAAAAAAAACAAACCCCCAAAATTTTTTTTTCCCTTTCAAAAAAAAAAAACCAAAATTTTTTTTAAATTTTTCAAAAAAAACCCTTTTTTTTTTTTTTTTTTACCCCTTTTTTATTTTTT